GGCCACCTCTCCTGCCCCCTCTCTTCAGAAAGCTCCCTCACTGGTCACTGCCAAGCAACTAGATGCTCTCCAACACCCTTGACTTAAAATAACTATGCAGACAGGATGTGGCACCCAAAATGAGGGCAAGAGTATTTTCTAACCCCCAGCTGGACTGCTCTTAATGAAGAGCCCTTTAGAAAGCCAGATGAGAACATGTAAGAAATCCATCGTATAGACTGGAGCCAAATAAGGTTAGAGACATTTTGGTAGAGGAGGCAGCATTCAGAAAATAATTTAAAAATATGGTCAGTCACTTACGGATGAATATCTATTAATGACTCCTACAGGAGAATGGTTACAGCCACAGCCCCACCAGTACCCCCTTCCCCAGAGCAGCAATGGGATGGAAGGAAGAGACCATTGAACGTGGGAGGCAGGGGGACCTGGGTTTGAATCCTAGCTCTGGCATTTATCAGCTGAGGGATCCTGAGACAGTCACTGGTTGAGCCTCAGTTTCCTCATCTGCAGAGTAATAAGATTTAGAGCTGGAAAGGATCACAGACTCTCAGGTCTAGAGGAGACCTCCAGGACTACCTCAAACCATAGGAACAAAAATCCACTCTCCGTAAAGAGTGGCCGTTCGGCTTTTGCTTGAAGACCACCAGTGCCGTAAGTCACAGGATCAAAGATTTGAAGTTGGAAGGGGCTTCAGGGGCCATCTGGTTCATTTCTTCCTTTTTATAGATGGAGAAACCGAGGCCATAGAGGTTAAATAACTTACAAAATCATAAGATCGTAGATCAGAAACTAGAAAAGACATCAGGGGTCAGAAAATCACAGATTATAATAATAATTTTTTTAAGAATAGGTAGCATTGGGCAGCTAGGTGGCACAGTGGTTAAAGCACCGGCTCTGGATTCAGGAGGACCTGAGTTCAAATCTGGCCTCAGACACATAACACTTACTAGCCGTGTGACCCTGGAACCCCATTGCCTAGCCAAAAAAAAAGAATAGGTAGCATTTACATACACTAATGCTTACTATGTGCTAGTGATGCTTTTATATATTTATACAGCGCTTGCTATGTACTGAGTATTTTACAATTATTATTTCATTTGATTCTTGCAACAGCCCTGGGAGGTAGGTACTATTATTACTCCCATGTTACAGATAAGGAAACTGAAGCAAATGGCAGTTAAATGACTTGTCCAGAGTCACACAGCTAATAAGTGTCTGAGTACACAGTCTCCTCTGTGCGCTATGGCACCCCCAAGCTGCCTATGGAGGTGGAAAGGACCTAAGAGGTCCTCTAGTCCTATACCCTCATTTTTCAGATAAGAAAACTGAAGTCTAGGGTTGCCCAAAGTCACTGGTAGGACTTGAACCCAGGTCCTATGATTCAGAAGCCATTATACATTCTTTCCATTATACACTGCAACCTTTTACACAGGGGGCCAGACATCTTCTGAAAAATAATCTACTATAAAACTCCCATTTTACAGAGTAGGGAGTTAAAGCCCAGATAAGCAAAGGACTGGTCAAAATATTTTAAAAAGATCCTGCTAATGATAATTTACATTTATATAGCATTTTCATGTCTATACAATGCTTTCTGCCTGAGGTAGTATTTATCTCCATTTTACAGATGGAGAAAGTGAGGTTTTGAGTGGCTTATTTTCCTATTATGACCTAGCTAGCAGTGTAAGGCAAAATTTGAACCCAGCATCTCATGACTTTGAATCCAGAGTTCTCTCCACTCTGCTCCATCATAGAAAGGCTTGACTGTCCCAGCCTCAGATGGACTGACTAGTAACTTGGTTAACTAATAAGACATTTCCTTCTCAAGCCTGGGAGCAGAAGGGGTTTTTTCTCATGTCAATATGATTCTTTAATTCACTTCCTTAGAGAAAACCCTCCTCCTTAGATTGGTAGAATGTGACAAAGAGGCAGCTAGATAGTGCCATAGTACATACAACACTAGGTCTGGAGTCAGGAAGATCTGAGTTCACATCCTACCTCAGACACTCACTAGCTGTGTGACCCTGGGCAAGTCTCTTAACTTGTTTGTTTCAGTTTCCTCAACTGTAAAATAGGGATAATAACAGCACCCAGGGTTGTTGTGGGAATCAAATGAGATAATATTTGTAAAGTGCCAGACATACTGTAGGCGCCATATAAATGTGAGTTATTAGTATTACAAAGACCAGGCTTTACTTTTGACCTTATCTTGTCATAATTTAGATTGACTAAGTTGAGGGAATTATTATATTTTTTTTTGGTTAGGCAATTGGGGTTAAGTGACTTGCCCAGAGTCACACAGCTTGTGAATGTTATGGGTCTGAGGCTGGATTTGAACTCAGGTCCTTCTGACTTCAGGGCCAGTGCTCTATCCACTGTACCATCTAGCTGCCCCCCGGTTGAAGGAATTATTGATGATGCTGTTGGGACCCTGAACAAGTTGCTTAGATTCTCTAGGTCTCAGATTCCTGGCCTGTAAAAGAAGGGAATTCAAAGAGATGTGCTCTGGTCAGAAAATGTGGAATAGGAACGCACATGCAGGATGTGCATTTGTGATTGCCTTGATCGGCCGCCATCAAGGCTTGGTGGGGAATCTGTATTTGCCACAACCGGCCCCCATTGAGGCTTAGGGGATGAGGAGTTGTACTCCTATTCTCACCCGCCTCTGTGAGAGGAGTGATTGGGGAATGCTGCAGGAGCTGGAGCTCCCATCATCAACAACCCTCTTGAGAAGACTAGACTAGAATAAAGTAAGCTTATTTAACCCCTCGGAAGCTGTCTTCCTTGTCTGACCGGATCAACAGTGAACCTGTGCTAGTACACCTGTTAGTGTTAGGGGCCCTCCTGTGTTCTCCTGCCCAACAAATGGTGTTACCTGTGTGTTTACCTGAGAAACAGATGACTGCCTACCTTGCAAGAAAGAGCTCCGTGAATTCATTTTTGTTATTATTCATCTTCCCTCCTTCCCCATTCCCCCCCCACCCCCACTGTCTACACTGAGCTAGGTTTAGGGCATCTGAATTCACTTACCCATGTAGAAATACTCAGAGTTTTACCCTCTGAAGACAAATCCTTTACTATGCCTCCAAACCGAAGCCACAGGCCAAAAGCAATGACAGCAGATCCTGCCAACTGAAGATAAACAAGACCGTTAGCATTAGCTCCAGCAGGTGGTGAAGGCAGTTAACGGTGCCGCCTGTGTCATGGAACATCCAAAGATGATGGGAAGGCCAAGAACATCATTACCACCAAAATCCATAACACCGACCAACGTTCACCATTGGGCTTTAATGTCTACGAAGCACTTTCCGTACATTATCTCATGTGATCTTCACAACAACCTTGGGTGAGAGGTGCTATTTCTATCCCGATTTTGCAGAGGAGGAAACTGAGGCAAACGAAGTTATGTGACTTACCCGGGGTCACACAGTTAGTAAGTAACTGAGGCCAGATTTAAACTCAAGGTCTTCCTGACTCCAGGTCCAATGCTCTAATTCACAGCACCACCTAGCTGCCTCCTTGGCAAACAGAGGTTAAAGGACTTACTTATGGTCACACAGCTTGTAAGTGCCTGAGGCCGGATTTGAACTCAGGTTGTATGATAATAACAATTCACATTACTAGAGAGCACTTTACAAGATTTACAAAGTGCTTTCTACACAACAATCCTTCAAGGTGCGCAGTGCAGGTGTTATTATCATACCCATTTTATAAAACTCACCAAACACCTTGCTTAAGGCTCCACAGTAAGGATTCGAACCCAGCTCTCTTGAATCCAAGTTCAGTTGCTCCATTAAACCATATTGCACACAGAACGTAAAAACTTCTTTTTTCGTTTTTCATTAGGAATTATTTGGGGCAGCTAGGTGACATGGTGGATAGAGCACCGGGCGTGGAGTCAGGAAGACTCATCTTCCTGAATTCAAATCTGGTCTCAGACACTTACTAGCTGTGTAAACCGTGGGCAAGTCACTTAACCTTGTTTGCCTCAGTTTCCATCTGTATAATGAACTGGAAAAAGAAATGGCAAGCCACTCCCGCATCTCTGCCAGAAGACCAAATGGGGTCATGAAGAGTCGGACACAACTGGGATGACTAAATAACAATTTCTAGCAAGCAGTACGGTGCTTCAAATATGGTAGGGCTAAATAAATATTTATTGAATCAAAGCATATATCCCTTGTACATACATAATTTATATCAAAATGCTTATTGTCTTAGGGAGAGGGAAAGAGAAAATTTGGGACTCAAAATTTATGTAAGAAATGAATGTTTAACAAAAATTTATCCCTCTTTCAATAGATAGGTAGAGTACTATAGGTACAAAAATGCAATATGGTCAGTCAACAGATGTTTATTAAGTACCTACTATGTGCCAGGTAATTGTACTAGGTTCTGAAGATAGAAAAAGAGGCAAAAAAAAACCAGTCTCCAACCCTCCAAGCTCACCATCTATTCTGCTTTTATGCCCTATAATCTCCTGGCACTGGCATCTTAACTACTCACATAATTTAAGGACTCCTGGGCCTTGCCAAATGCCCCGAAGCAGGGATTTTCTCCTCTCCATTAGAATTTGAGCTCCTTGAGAGGGGGAGCCATCTAGCTTTTTCTATTTGTATCCCCAGTAATTGACATGGTGCTTGCCATATGGTAAGGGCTTGCCATATCTTCATTCATTCATTCATTCATTAATTCATTGATTTGCTGGTCTTTTTTACTTAATTTTTTCTTGTTACAACAAGGATGGGTGATCACTGAGTGAGTGGTTAATCTCTTCCAGTTCTAAATTCCATGGTCCTAAGAAAACTGTGAATGAGAGGCCTTGAGAAATATGACTATGCCCGGAAAATCTAGGAAGGGACTGAGGAAAAACAAATAAATGGGGACAAGGTCAAAGTAGCTGGCAAAGAAGAAAGAACATAATGTCATGTACTACTCAGGGTGGAGGGGAAGAGGTGACAGGGAATGAATAAGACCAGGGCCAGCTACCAGGAACTGGGCTGGGTTGTGGTGTTTCAGCCTGAGGTCAAAGCAAACCATGAGCCAGAGAAATAAATGATCAAAGGAGGGATAGGAGGAATGACTTAGAATTAAAAGCAGGTCAGATACTGAAGAAGAAACCAGTCTGAGAGCCAGGCAAAAAGAAAGGAGATTGGATTCCTAATCCCAATGCTAGAGGTGAATTGTAAAACAGACAAGGTAAGCAGACATGGGGAAAGTGGGCATTATCCCAGGTAAGGGAGTAGGATCTGACCACAGTACAAATCAGCTTGCACCAAGATTCCTTCCAGGGACCTCATCTTTATCCTTTATTCCAGGAGGGAACGCTGTGGGCAACAAGGTGATGCCGCAGACAGAGCACTGGGCCTGGAGTCAGGAAGACCTGACTTCAAATACAGCCTGAGACACTTATTAGTTGTGTGACACTGGACAAATCACTTCACCTCTGTTTGCTTCCAACTCCTCAACTGTAAAATGGGGATAATAAAAGTGGATAGGTCCCAGGGTTGCTAGGAGAACCAAATTAAATAATATCTGTAAAACGCCTAGCACAGTGCCTAGCAAATAGTATATAAATATTGTTTATTCAAATTATTATATTATAAATCAAAATATTATTATTTAAACATTATATAAATGCTTATTTCCTTCCTGGACCAGATGATCTCTAATATGCTTCTAACCCTGAATCTATGATCTTAGATTATTATTCTCCCCATTTCACAGATGAGAAAATTCAGTGAAGTGACTTGTCCATTGTCTCCTAACTAGCAAGCATGAGAGTCAGCATTTGAACCTATGGCCCTCCTGACTCAAAGTCCACTTTCTCTACTACACCACCCTACTTCTCTTGGACACTGAACTTTCCACCAAATGCCGCTCCCGCAGAGGCATCGCCACGGGGGTTCAATTTCTCAGTCGTCTCTAGTTTGCAGGACTGTTAGAAAACTAGGCCCGCTGAAGGGCCAAGGTTAACAGTTTAGATCAAACTGTGGGCTTTCCCCTTCCATAACAACCTGTGTGTCTGGCTCGCTATGACTGCCCGTCTCCAGGCCCCTTCTCCCAGGACAACTCTAATCTAAACCGCTTAGCAGGTTCATTGTGACTAAACATGCCTGGAGTAAAGTCCATCTTCCAAGCCTACCCCAAATGTGCGTGGACTCTGGGAAGGCAGCTTGTACTTTCAGCCTATTGGGATGAAACGGGAAGGGGGAGGAGCGCATGACCCTCTTCAGGTGTCTCTCATCAATTCAGCAGCACAGAAGGTTCCCTTTACCCAAATGTACTTGGTATATTAGCCGGCACGGCAGGTGCAGTCAGATCATTTATACCTGGGGAAGCTCATTCCAGCAACTAAACATATGCGACCCATCTGGAGGCAAATGGTGCATTGGCCAGGAGGGGGTCTGGTCAGGAGTACATACCTCATCAATGCCACAGACCATTAAACTCATCGTACCCATATGGCCCAGTACATTCACACAGAGGCCAGACCCTGCTTATCTTGAAGTGCAGAAGACCATGGGAGCACAGGGGCATTGAAATGTGGGCACTGGCATCAGACGCCAGCCTTTGACCATGACTGCCCAAAGCCACTGTCTGGATTCAGCCACTGTATCCCCATAGGACTTTTTTGAACTGGAGGTGGAGGGAACTGGAGGGGTGGAGGGAAGATGGAAAGATGAGGGAGATTTAGAAAAGGGAGGGTTTCTAAACACCACCATCTTGTGCCAGCTTCCTTTTCTGTAAATGAGGAATTTTAACTGTCCCACTTACTCATAGAGACTGAGGATTAGACTCCCTATAAGGTTCTAAACAGCAGAGCTTTACATAGAGTAGGGTGCCCGGAGCTTTGTCCCTGGGCACTGAAATTGAGAGAGCAGGAAAATTTCACACACACACACACACACACACACACTCCTTCAGCTACAAAGAAGTCACTAAGATTACTAAATTCTCCCCTCAGTCAACTAAATTTGGTTTAATTGCCTTGTGTAGTTTTTTATTCTATTTTCATTCTAGCTCCAAACCATGTCCTAGCCACTAATAATAATAAATTAATAAAACTAATAAATAAATAGATAATAAATATAAGTAAATAAATAAATAAATAAACTAATAAAAGCTAAAATACATATGTGCCAGGCACTGTACTAAGTTCCTTACAATCATATCATTTGATCTTCACAACAACTCTGGGAGGTTGATGCTATTATTATCACCCCCATTGTACAGATGAGGAAACTGAGGCAAACAAAAGCTAAGTGACTTGCCCAGGGTCACACAGCTAGTGAGAATATCAGGCTAGATTTGAATTCAGGTCTTTCTAAATCTGGACCCAGACTCTATCAACTATACCATCTAGCTGCGTCAATAGAGTCCTCCTTCACCTCACACTGGAACTCACATTCCTACCTCTGTCACCTTGGGCTCTAAGTGAATTCTCACCTTATCTTGCTCAGAACTAGGACACCACTCCACTTCTGGGCCAACTCTAACCCATGCAAATCAGCCAATCCCATGTTTTCTCACTCTCCTCAATCTGTCGTCTTTCTCCATTAAAAAGTAAGTTCTTTTGTTGAATTGGTTCAGTCACTCTGGAAAGCAATTGGAGCAGTGTTCCAAAGTTACAGAATTGTGCACATCCTTTGGCCCAGGAATAACACCACTAGACCAGAGAAGTCAAAAGAAAAGGGAAAAGGACCTGTATATGTGTATATATATATAGAGAGATAGATACATACATACATACATACATATGTTTAGATATATATGTATATATATGTATGTATGTGAATATTTGTGTTTGTGTTTATATATTGTGTGAATGTATATTTGTGTATGCATATACATATGTATATACACACACAACTATACATACATACACATTTATGGGCAACTCCTTTTTCAGTAGCAAAGAACTGGGAAACCAAGGAGGTGCCCATCAATTGGGAAACGGTTGGACAAATTCTGGTATATTAATGTAACGGAAGGCTCTTGGGCACAAGAAATAGCGTAAAGGACAGCTTCAGTGAAAACTGGGAAGATTTATACAAGCTGGTGCAGAATGGAATGAGCAAAACAAGACAGCAATACATACAGTAACAACATTGTAAAAACAAATACCTCTGAAAGACTTGGGAACCCTGATCCATGCAATGACCAGCCATGATCATTCCACAGGACTGATGATAAAGCATGCTAGCCAGGTCCTGACAGAGAAGTGATGGACTCAAGACTGCAGACTGAGATATGTTTGAGGGGCATGGCCAACCGAGGAGTTTATTTTGCTCAACTACACATATTTGTCATAAGAGTTTGTTTTTCTTTTTTAGTGCTGGGTAATGGGAGAGAGAAAAAAATAAAGTTTAATTTATAAAAAAAAAAAAAGCTCTTTGAGGGTAGAGACTGTGTTGCTTACTTACATTCATTGCCTCAGGGCTAATGAAGCACAGTGCTTAAAACAATTGCAAAACCTTAAGAATAATAGCTGTTATTTCTGTAGCATTTGCTACATACCAGGCACTGTGCTGAACATTATATAATTATTACCTCATTTGATCCCTGCAACAACCCAGTGAAGTAGACGCTATTATTGTCCCCATTTTATAGTTGAGGGGCCTAAAACAAACAGAAGTTAAGTGACTTGCTCAAGGTCATACAGCTAATTAAGCACCTGAGGTCACATTGGAACGCATGCCTTCTGGACTCCAGACCCAGCACACTATGCACCATGGCACCACCAGGCCATCTCCTTCTCCTTCCAGCACCAATACTCAAGGCTTATCTTAACTCTTAGAAGACTGTGTGTAGCAGCTATTTTACACTTGGCATATCCTGCCCTGTAGTATGTATATTATTTTATATGTCTCTGTCTTATATCAAAAAAAGTATGGCTCGTGAGTGGAGAACTGCACTTGGAACCAGGAAGACCAGAGATCAAAACTCCTCTGATTTTCACTCGTTGTAGGCCCATGGGCCAATCACTCATCTTCTCTGAGACTTAAGCAACTCTTTCAGGTGATAAATTATCGAGTTTGCAATCTGTGCTGGCAGTGGGGGTACTCACACTGATAAAATCAGAGGTCCAAGGGCAGGGACCTAGTTCCTACTATCTCAAAGAATCCCAGAATCTCAGAGACACAAAGATCTCCAGTGGCTGTCTTGTCTTTGTTGTTGTTCAGTCACGTCGGACTCTTCGTGACGCCATGACCCTCTGTGTCCTTGGAGTGTTGCTGGCAAAGACACCAGAGTGGTTTCCTATTTCCTTATCTTGTCTTACCAGTCTTCGGGATAGCTGGCACTCAGTCCTCCAGCCTTTGCTTGAAGGCTTTCTATGACAGGGAAGTCACTCTTTCCTAAGGTAGACCAGCCCACTTTGAGATAGCTCTCATAGGACCGTTTTCTTATGTCCAGCCCAAATCTGCCTCTTTACAACTTCTAGCCATCATTCCTAGTGTTGTCCTCTTCCCTTTTCCCCATGATAGCCTTTCCAATACTCATGCAGTTCTTGTATGCTTTGGGGTATACTTCTCCCCACTTTGACTGGCAATGATGAGTAGCTTGCCAGAGCTGGGCTGGCTGTATCTCCTCCTCATGAGAGCGCAGCAGATCAGATAGTATGCATCTTCTCTAACATCATTTCCACTGCACATACCAAGCAGTACATAGAGTGGAGAGAGTCCTAGACCCTGAATCATGAAAACCTGAATTTAATTTGACCTCAGACACGCTGGGCAACTCACTTAACCTCTGTCTGCTTCATTTTCCTCATCTATAAAATAGGAATAATAATAGCACCCATCTTACAGGGTTGTAATGTTAAAATGAGATAATATTTGTGAAGTGCTTTTCAAGTATTAAAATACTATATAAATTCTAGCTATTCTTATTACTATTCTGGACCCACACACTGACAGTTGGTTAATTTAAACAGGGATAAGGCAATGATGCTTTAGGACCCTTGGGCAAGAAACCAAATTATCCTTGGTGAAAAAATTCTTTCATGAGTCCCCTAGAGAAAAAGACCATCCAATTGGGGTCTGAACAAAATTTTATTGATGCAATTTTTCTAGGGGTTTTTGTATTATAGATGATCCCCTTCAAAGTCTAGGTGAGTTTTTTCTTGGGTTCTACTTGAAATTTCCCTCAATGGATCCCTGTCCCTGCAACAGAACTATTAGAGTTCCAGATTCACT